AATTCTAGCGCCTGCTGTTGGTGGGATACTTTAGCTCAGTTTCGCTGATAAAAGTATAGGCTATGGCGGCGTGATCGCTCTTCTTCAAGGGGGTCAGGAGTGAGAGAATATCAATTAGGAATTCTTCGTTAGTAAATACCCAGTCTAAGAGCGACGGCATATGGCTGTTTCTCCAACAAGTTGACGACTCAACATTTTCGAATAATCCTAGATTCTCAACGAGGTTGAAGAACCGAGTTTCGGCAGAGTTTTCACTTTTAATATACGTATGTCCCGTGAACTTGACTTGAGGAAGATTGAAGTCCCCTAGGATCAATATACGAGTGGATCTGAGGCGAGTAGATTGGGGTAGTCCTTCTAGCATGCGAATGTCGTGCTCGATGTCAGCAGTGGGTTTCCTGTCGATGACTTCAACGAGACATCTCGAGGTGGTAGACAGTCTTACTGAGCGCCATACCGATTCACCGAGATTGATAAACTCTTAGTTGTGCACCTGATATTACCTCCATGCAAGATCGTAATTATATGGCTACTCCACACCTGATTCCTGTTTTTCTGTTATTGCGAAACAAACGCATCATGTGTATTGCTAGCATGTGGTCCGTAAACTGAGAAGATATCCAAGTTTCCCCTATTCTTGTTAGATGAGCGTTATTGGCAATTCTGAGTTCACGTAGCTCATCCATTTTGTTCGGTAAACTCGCGGTGTTCATGTATAAGCAGTTTATGACTTCAATTTGAAACGTATGAGCTTCTCCGTTCTGTTTGTCTGTATGAGCTTTATGTGAATGCACAGGTAGCCTACCTAAACAAGGTTTTTCGAGTTGTTATCACTGTCCTTTCTACATTTATTTATGATCTAGACAGTTCACAATTGGAATGGTCAGCTCCAACGTGCCTTTGTGCCCGATCCTGGTGTCATGTGGCCTGTGCGAATGCATATGGATTCCAGTTGGCAACCGGCATCTATGGATAATAGATGTTTCTAGAGTTGCAGCCGCCATATGGGAGGATGCGAAGGTTACCATCATCAGCCGAGGTCTAGAATCTCCGTCCTTCTTGACTAGTCTCACCACTTGTTGAGTCCATGTTTTTTGAGCTCCAAGAACTGCTTGATGTATTTCCACTCCCGAATATTAGAATTAGTGTGGTCTAGGTCCGTGTTTTTTGGTACACGTTGCACAGTGATATTCTTTCTGCGGAAAGACTTTTCACGAGATTCTTTGGGGATGTTCCGGATGAGGCAATATTCTTGCCTTCCCATCTGATTTCGATAAGTGACTAGCATCTAGGATGTACTCTACGTCGGTAGCGTTATTGAGTGATACACTAAGTAGTCTTGAGTGATTTTGATGCTTAGAGTCCTTTCTCTGAGTAAGCCATATGACCGTCAGAGACTATTTTGAGAAGTTCGAACTTCTTGTTTAACTTGTATAATTATGGTCTACTTCGATATTAGTACTACTCTAATAATAGACTTAATTTTAAAATTATAGATTTATCATGATGTAGCTGCCTATTCTATAAGATAAATAGTAGCGCTGTTGAGATCGCTCTTCATGTTTTCATTGCGTGTCTTTGTTTGTATACCCGTTTTAGGACTGCCTTTTTTCAGGTTTACTGACAACTTATTCCGCAAACCTATCAAGAGAATGATGATGCTGCTCAGCAAAACCTCAGTATTCGTGTTGCACGTGACACATACCTACCTATGATCCGACTTATTGAGTCTGTTGTAAACAGTTATTGTAAGGTCTGTGCACGCTTCGTGGAACCAAGCTTTGCAATTGTCACAATGCATGTCAGATGTAACAGCAAAACAGCAACCGGGTCGCTTGCATGAATTCTTCATGACTATAGTGATGCAACTTGTTATGTAGATCCTAGCGAAAGTCTAAGACCGTAAAACAAAAAATACGATACACCAAAAAAACTGATGGAAATGGATAAAAAACGGGTGTTACAGACGGTTAGGATAAACTGGAACTAGCCTTGATATGAAAAACTGTAAAACCGAATAGTAAGCTGAGACAAAGCCACAGTTAACTATCAAGTTGGGTAAAACCCAAAAAGGAAAGTAATTTACTGAACTTAAAGCTCAGGACAGATTCTTTAGATCAGAAATGGTACTTTTGTTGCGTAAGGACGCAGTTTGAGAAATGTTAATTACGTTAGGACTGAACTTCCCGTTCGTAAACCGCTTGCAGCGCTTTCAGTGAGGTGAGTTCAGAAAACTTGTTGCGGTCAGCATCAAACGTCGAAGACTTACATAGCTAATGATTTTTGGGATTTATTTACTGCTATAATAGCTCTATCCGTCTCGGTTTCACACACATCCTGGTTCTAGGGGACTTTAATCTCCCTAGAGTCAACTTCGCGGAACACACGTACACTGGAGGTGACAACTCAATTGAAGCTCGGTTCTTCAACCTCATCGATAACTTGGGCTTATATGAAAATGTGAGGTCGGCAACTCGTTGGAGAAACAGTCAGACACCATCGCGCTTAGACTGTGTATTCACTAACGAAGAATTCCTAGTCGACAACCTCTCAATCCTGGCTCCTCTGGGAAAGAGCGATCATGCCGTCATAGCCTTCAGTTTTGTCATCAAAACTAAGCTAAGGTATCCCAACAATAATTTGCGTTGGAACTTTAAACGGCTGAATGTGCCAGCTCTACATGACTATCTACAACAGGTGGTTTGGGATGTTCACCCTCAACTCGATGTGGATGGTCATTGGGACTTCTTACTGCACACGCTCTTATGTGCTACAGACCATTCAGTTTCTCAAACGGTTCCCAAAAGCTGCAAGCCACATACAGTAATCAAGAACCGTACCCTTCGCCTGCTAAGACGCAAAAGGCACTGTTGGGCGGAATACAAACGAACTAATAACGATGGAGCGTATAGGCAATGCAAACATATCAGGAACATATGCACGAAGGCTATAAGAGAAGACAGGCTTCAGTACCAAACAAAGCTTATGGACAAATTCACCTCTAACCCTAGAAGCCTATTCCTTTATGCAGCCTCTCTTCGTCAAGCCAAAACAGGAGTTTCTCAACTGCTAGGTCTTAACGGCCCGACCAACAACGATGGCGACGCCGCTAACCTTCTGGCTGAATATTACTCTCAGACATTTCAACCGACCGACATCGGCTTTACTGAAGACAGTTTCATCTGCAATTCCACAGGACTTTCTGAAGTGGACCTAAGCGCTGACTTGGTGTTCCGGAAATTGCAGCACTTAAGACTAGACACTTCTCCTGGCCCGGATACGGTTCATCCTACCATACTGAGGGAGGCAGCCTCAATCCTGGCAACGCCGCTTAGCGTGATGTTTTCTCACTCGCTTAGCCGAGGCAAATTACCGGAAAATTGGAAGTTGGCTCACATCACACCAATTTTCAAAGGTGGTCGACGCAATGAACCTTCAAGTTATCGGCCGGTGGCTCTTCTGTCATTACCTTCAAAACTCATGGAGTCCCTGATACGCGACGGTTTAAATGACTATCTACTGTCCTTAAATTTCTTCTCACCCCAACAGCATGGTTTCAGGAAGGGTTACTCTTGTATAACCAACCTGCTGACTGCGGTGGACAGATGGACAAGCATCCTCGATTGCAAGGGAAAGGTTGATGTCATTTACCTTGATTTCTCAAAAGCTTTTGATAAGGTTAACCACTTGTGTCTTATCAACAAGCTTAAACAACTAGGTATCAAACCACTCCTAATCGATTGGCTTACTTCATACCTAAAAAATCGACACTTTAAGGTTAGGGTTAATTTCACTTTATCTCAGGCTATGGAATGTCCTAGTGGGGTCCCCCAGGGCTCAGTACTGGGGCCTCTTCTCTTCTTGATCTACATAAATGATCTTCCTCAACAGGTAACGTCAGACTTATTACTTTTTGCCGACGACGTGAAACTTTGGAGAGAGATACGCAACCAAGACGATACACAGGCACTTCAGGAGGATCTGACTCGACTTCAAAGTTGGGCAGACGATAACGGACTTACTTTTAACACTTCAAAGTGTAAAGTAGTCCATCTGCGACATGTTGCAAACTACAGTTACAACTTAGGAAACTCCTCTCTAGTAGTATCCCAAGTCGAAAAAGATTTAGGAGTCCTGGTGCCCCATGATTTAAAGTCTTACGCTGTGACAAAAATGCCTTCCGAGTAAACCTTGCACTGGTAACGTTGAGGCGCATTTTTGGCCAGTTTGACGGAAAAACGTTCCACAAAATCTTCAATAGTTTCATCCGTCCCCATTTAGAGTACGGAAATATAGTACTCCCCCCTCACTCCAAAAGGACAAGGTCACTTTGGAGCGTATCCAACGGCGAGCCACGAAATCAGTTCGAGGACTCAAATCTAAGCCTTACGAAGAACGCCTCCGTTCACTAGACCTTTACCCATTAGAATATAGGCGTCTTAGAGGTGATTTATTAATGGCTTATAGTATTCTTAACACTTCTGGACATCCTCTTAAACACCTACTTAAGCTTAGTTCGAATAATAACCTAAGGGGTAACACCCAGAAACTGGAAACACAACATAGCAAGACGGAATGTAGACACAAATTCTACTCCTTAAGAGTTGTCAAAAGCTGGAATTCGCTGCCGGCCGAGCTAGTCCAAGCGACTTCTCAGGAGTCCTTCAAGAGGCAACTTGACCTATTCTTAAGGACCAAGGGCAGCATCACACTATGATTTACCAATTTCTTTTCCTCTTTTATTGTTAACACACCTAGGTTCCTGCCTGGAGGATTTGGTGATCCCCTGCTACGAGACACAGAAGCCTGTTAAGCGAAAGCTTCTTCTATTCCGTCCACAACCATTTGAACCATTTGAACCATATTTCTGCGTCAATCATCAAATATACCAAGATTCCTACATGAAGGGGTCGGTGTTTCGCTGCTACTAGATACGGAAGCTTGCTAAGGGAAAGCTTCTATTCTATCCACAAACATTTGAAACATCTGAAAAATGAACCAATCGCAATCTAGACATAGATCTGGCGCAATTTTCAACTAAGCATGATGAATGAGTCGGTCTGTTCTGTCTTTCGTGACAAACTGGAGCGTTTATTTCACTGGGGTCCAATCTCTACAATCTGGATCATATTTTTTATTACGCTCACGAGTTTATACAGTACCTTACATGTCGCCCCTCCCTGTTCATCACTTCTTGGTCTGTTTCTTTCTACGTGCATATTTAGTTTCTTTTATATGACTCTGAAGTCTTACCTTTGTACTGTATTTGTTGGTCCAGGATTTGTTCCTCTTGGTTGGAGGCCGGTAAGTCGACGTTTCATCTGTTTTTCCTTTGTTTAGCGGTAAAATAAACTTTGGGAGGCGGTGTCCCAGTCTCCCAAGTTTGGGGAAATTTTGGGGAAACCTCCAAAGTCAAACTTCGGGGTTTTGGTGCCATTCCCCCAAAGTCTACTATAGCGGCTTCCCCAAAATGTGTCAAATTTTCCCCGAAATTGGGAGCTCGGGTGTCAAGACAGCTTCCACAGGGAACCAATTGCTTGTAGTTATCATTGGAGCTGTAAGAAGGTAAAAATCACTATGGAAGTACTAGTAATGCATAAAATGTGGAGATTTAAGGTTGAAATGTACCTGACAGCCAGACATAAAGTCTCATTGTTTGACAAATGATACTGATTTTTCACTCATTTTCACCCCTTATATAAATGTATCATTTATGACAATGATATGTGTAGTGACTAAAGAAAAAGTGTGTACATCAGGTCTGCTTTTTACTTCAATTAGATTTGAAAACGCCTCACGAATAATGTAGATAATAGTCTTGTCGGCTTCAAAGTTGAAACGCTGATATGTCAATCTAGTTGTTTTTATTTTGTAAATCAGTGTAAAGATTCCAAAAGCTTGTCTGATCAAGTTAGTTATGTGATTCTGTCACTTATACTAGTAAATGAGCCACTAAAGTTTTCGTTCAATATGGATCTTATTTCTGTGGTTGAGCATAAATATATGTCTAAACCATCGATCTCAACCTTAACACAGCTCAGTAGTGCAAGTGGTGTCAATATCCTTTTCTAATTAAATGAAGTTGGGGGATATAGATCTTCGTCGGTACATTTCATGACGTTTACGTTCGGTTTTAGAGTCAATAGCTACTAACTCACCCTAGTGTTTGGGTGTTAGAACTGTCCCGGACTCAGTTTACTTTCAGGTGCAACAGAAAGTATCCTTCCACTGTGTAAGAAACTGAGAAGGGAAGACAACCTTAATGCATCTATTAAGACTCAAGATAATCTTATTCAAAACAAAGCTACTCCACTTCATTATATTTCGTATTCCTGTCTTCTACTTTCAAAATTATCACGGTACCTAAAAGTTCTAGAGATTTCCGATAGTTTGGTTGGACGAGATTTTTAATCGGTAAAATCAATGATTAGGATGATTATCGATAAGTAAACACAATGATATGATGTGGCTGATTAATAGGTACTCATGAGAGCGTATTATTGACCTAAGCCACAGAACAATTCTAAATCAAAAACAAGACGACTAGTCAGATGGATAAAATCGTGTCATAAAATGATGTGCTTATATACAAAATATAAATATAAAATAGGCATGATCAGATATCATGAGCAACTAAAGAAAATTAGCTTATACGTCGCTCATTATCCATTCAATCTTATCACTTATTTAAACACATAAGCATAGGTACAAGAAGGCACCTAATCGATATGCGCCACATAAACCATTCGATTTGTGTGAGGGCTGTGATACTGCCCGAGCGCCCAAACCCAGGCAGGTGGTTTTCTTAGGGGGCCACATCCCGCGCCTTTGACTTAAAGGTCTAAAAGCATTTCGAGAGGGAGAGTTGACTCTCCCCACTCTCGGCCGTACCAGGGCATTTGGGGGCAGTCAGTCAGTCAGTTACAACGTAGAGCCTGGCACATGTATGCATATATGCACATATATGCAAGTTGTCATACCTCATTAACACAATAAGATGAACAAATTCATAGAAGTAGTTACTTTAATGGTAGTAATATTTAAAAGAGAGATTGCACATAAGGATGTTGTACAGGAAGAAATGAGGGTATAAAGTTGTTTTAATTTCAAGGTTACAAGGAAGACATAGAGTGTATACACCGACGGCATTATGATAGATTCTGAGCTGTCACCCAGTCTCCAACCATTGGTTACGATAGTCACACGAACCCAACCAAGTAGTCTGCATTTATCAACATGGCTCAGACTAGAAGTTAGTGACTTCAAGGACTGATGTCGAGTTTCGGTTTGGCCACCCCTGACTTTCTTCCAGCCGTCTCTAACACTAGTCAGCATTACGCGCCGTGGTAAACGATGTTCAGGCATACGTAACACGTGGCCCAACCATCTCAGTCTATGAAGATTCACAACCTCATCAACTGATTTACCACCATTCGCTGATACCCTGTGCCTAACTTCACTATTACTTACCCAGTGGTCCTAGCATATACGAGCAGTTTTTCTAAGGCATCTGTGGTCAAATACTAGTAGCTTACGAGGATCTTCTACTCTTAATTGCCACATTTCGCAGCCGTAAAGTAGAACGGAACAAACTGCCGCGAAGTATACTGGTCCCTTAATTAATAGATGGATATCTCGCCTTCGCCATAGGTGACGTAAGTTGGCGAAAGCCAAACGACAACTTCACTCCCTATCCTTAGTTCAGGTGTTGATGCAGGCCAGTCCTGAAGCAACAACTTGTATTTAGAGGGGGAGGAACGCATTCCAAATATTCTGGTATAGAGTTGTTCAGTGCTACCAAAAGACTGCATTTGATCAGCGTTTTAACCAAACAGGACTATGTCATTTGAGTATTCTAAGTCGATAAGTTGACCTCCTGGTAGGAGATCAATTCCCAAAAATGCAGTCAACGAGAACGTGTGTCTATGATGACGTTGAATAAAAATGGGGATAGTGGACCCAGTCAATGAAGAACGGACTTTTAGGCCCAATCACTGGCTGTTGTATCACCAACGAATCAAGTTCATGTAATCGTATCTTGGATATATAATTTGTTCCTGAAGTTTTTACTCAGCATCCTAGCATCATTACTCACTGGGCGTGTGAGGAAATCAGAGCTTTACTCTTATTGTATATGAATACCAGACAACAAGTTCTAAAAGTTTCTCGGACGTATGTATAGAACCAAGTTGGAATGAATAGACGATCCTCCAGTGCATTCTTGTTGAATGTAAGTGCCACCAAATAGGCGGCAAGTAGATACTCATTTAATTGCTTTTGTTTGATAAATTAGTATCATGGTGAGATTCTCAAGTGTTTTAACAAGACAATCATGAATAATAACATGTAATTATCATTTAGTAGCCTCTATTTTATACTCTTGATAAACAAGACAAATAAAACTTATCTGACCTCCGTTTTAGAGTTTGGGAAATATAATGTTCTAATATCCTGGGCTAAGACGACAGTCGTCCCATTCTTTAAAAAGACTCTACGTAATCTATGCAACAATTATAGGTGGATAAATCTTACTTCAATTGCGTCTAAACTATTGACGTCTATCGTAATTCTTAGATTGTTCAAAGTCCGTGGAAAACCGACTCTCGAGGAGGAGACTGTCTTTTGTCCTGGCTGTAGTACTTCTATATTTATACTCCCCCAAATGCTAGGAAACCGCCTTATTGCAGGTCAACCACTGTAATTTTTGATATCAGGCCCGTTTTCGATCTGTTAGACAGATCTGTTTTCCGGAATCGTCTGTTGAGGACATCTTTTGGTCCGTCATGACTCCCCGGTTGTGGTCCTAGAAATGGTGCAGTTCATTGGCTCGAGACATTATCAGATATAACTGAGGATAGAAATGATCCATCTATAATTTTCTTCCGTGTTCTTTATAAAAGTATAGGGGACTCCTTTGGCTGGAAGGATTTTTACTAGTTTTATCTTTTTTAGTAGGTATCATGTTTTGAAGTATTCTTGTTCATTTGTTTTGATTGTACTCCACAGCCGTCCTCCATCTCTTCACAATTTCATTTCATCGTTTAGCGCATATTTATTTTAGTCCCCGTTCCCACCAGTCTTTATGTTTTAAAAAGATAGATAAATGTAAATCCGTTGGCTTGATAACTGTTGTACTTAGTATGGATTTTGTTGCATTGTGTTTGTAGTTGTGATAATTTGAGCCTACATCAAATTAAGAAAATATTAGTATAAACAGCTTTACTATTGCGACCATAGTTGTGGGGTAGGACATGGTTTTCCAATCATTGTTACTGTTGGATCTGGGAGACAGAATTTCGTAAGCATTCTAGGTTCTTGTACATTGTTTCTACACATCCTGTAACTTATTTTTTTGCTTACTTTCGTTTTTTAGTGTGACCCTTCAGCTGAACAGAAGCTTCAGTTCTGTAATGTTTGTAGAGGTTTTAAGCCTCCACGAGCCCATCATTGTCGAGCTTGCAACCGGTGCATAATGAAAATGGACCATCATTGTCCCTGGATAAATACATGTTGCGGTCATCTTAACCATAAATACTTTTTGATCTTTTTGTTGTTTGCTCCATTCGGATGCATCACCTCTTGTATATCACTATCGCTTTCTATATATCAAAGTCCAGCAATCGTAAGTTTTGGTTTATTTCATTATTTCTCTGGTCACAGATCGATACACCCTGTAAACGACATTAATTTCGTTTTAATTGGTGCCATTTACCCGTCGGATTAGAGAAATTAACCTATGACTCCATCTCTTTTAAGGTTTTTCCCTGCTTGTAAACTCATTACCGTAAGAGACCGACAACAGTCCCAAGTGTTTACGGCAGTTTAAATAATTTCTCTGTGGTTTAATGAGTGTTTCTATCTTTCGTTAACTGAATCAATTGATGAGTAATATCACTCTAAAAGGGTTACATATAATTCGTGACGATCGCTCGTCAAAACAGTCTTTATTGACCTATTCCCTATTCCTTTTCCAGATTTTTCATGGCCTTGATAACATTCATCATATTTAGATGATCGGTGTAGATTTTACATGCATGACTCGGTTGAATACTAAACAAAGTTTAACCAAAATATGAATGGAATTCCCACAAGGTATTTTCATCGATCCAGTTTCGTTATCTGTGATACTACAACTTTTATTTTTGTTGGCAAAAAATTGTTCAACGACTAAGATTTTCTAAATAATAGCTCTCGAGTAATAATGCTTATTGATGTTTTTAGCACTCACGGTCTTTATGGATTATAAAAGAAACCTTAATTAGATCTCCAGTTTTCATAGGTATTTGTGCTTCCAGAATCTGACTGAAACAGGTGCTCAGATCTAACTGTATAGATTCGTCAACATTTGTAAAATTTTGTTAACAGGTCTCTGTGTTCACGTGTTCTTAAAGCTTATCAGCATATACAACTTTAGAAAGTGAGTTTTAGTTTCATGATTCAAGAAATCTTAATATTGCCGCATTCCCTGGGATCCGTGATTTATTCACAAAGCTTTCACTATCTTGGTGGACAGTAACACGCTACCAGGTGGAATGTTCTACCAGAACTTGACCTTTGAAAGGTGCACTGATGACATTGCCCGTAATATCATGATAAAACTGTCTATCTAGGCAAACTACAGTTACCGAAATTATGTACTGCGAATTTCCGATGTTTGGGTTACATAAATGTTCAACTAGTTTCTTAAATTACAAGTTAAAACAGTTACTGTCAAGCCAACCGATATCGGATGAATTTTTGACCATAATTTAATCAAATATACCAAGTGAAGCATCCGTCTTTCATATTGTGATACCAGTGGTGGCTATTGGGAGTATTATGTGTCCCAACTCACGTTTGAAATGACGGTGTTGGTTGATAACTTCTACAATAATTTTCCTTATTTTTAAAATGGGTTTAGATTAGATAAAGATGGTTCTTGAAGAGATATTGTTTCAAGCAATCATTGTTTCCATCAGACTAGAATTCCAGATATATCATCAAAGCGGGTTTCTACAGTTAGTGTTGCATCTACAGTCTAAGGCTGAACACCTATATGGGAATTGTTTTATGTTTCTGTATATAAATCACTCGCTAAGTTATGTATTAGTCTCTTGTGGGGATATAGATATGATGTGGAACTTTTCGTAGTAGCAGTATTTCTAACTTAATTGGTAGAATGATCTATCGTGTTACGAGATTTCGTGACTTTTGTGAAATTTTGTGGTGACATTATTTTTTTCTAATCACGAAGTTGTGTTCATGATTTTTCAAGATCTGTGAGCAATTTCGGTGGAAAAAGGCCCATGCCCACGGGTGATTACAGTTCTTTTTTACGCATGATTTGATTTGCACGAAAATCCATGAGTACTAAATTTATGTTAATAATGCTGGTCTTCATAAAATGTAAGCATTTTCGTTTGATTTCAGTTTCCTAGTTTACTTTTGCGAAGATTTCAATCAAGCGTTTTGTTCGTCATAGCTGATCTAATGATAACATTATTTGCTTTGGGTTTAGCTGTGGGTGTTGCACTGTCTGTTGGGATTTTAGCAATTTTCCAGTTGAAAGCTGTTTCGAGGAATCAAACGGGAATAGAATCATGGATCGTAGCGAAAGTAAGTCATTTATAAAGGAAATACTTAGTTCTTATTTTCTACAAGTCCGTACAATCGTGTTCAACATTTGTAGTTGTTGCAGAGAAGGGTTTTATTAAAAAGGCAAATTCTCGATTGTTAGAGTTGACGAAAGAATTCTGATCAGTATCTGATTCTCAACGATACAAAATGTAGACTAGTGATGGTTATTCACGAAAATGAATAATCGCCTTAATCTGTCGAGTGATTTAAGTCTAAAGACATGACCACTGACCAGAAGAATAGTTTTTTTTGTAATTAAATGGCAGGGTTATATATTAAATATTAGCAGAGAATAAAATGACATGAGCGACTGGAGGAAACTCATTTTCAGTTCACTCATTTTCAGTTCACTCATTCTCCAATCAATTAAGGCCTTAGTGTTAGACCCTATTCTTGTGCATCGTACTAGTAGCAGTTTGGTACCTACAAGTGCAGTTGTATTCTTACTGTAAAAGTACGGAACCGAAGTCTAGAGTTTCTGTTAATTTTTTTCAAACACATGATGGCAGTTATTTTGATCTTCAAGTTTCGTGTTTGTCACGTATCTATTCCTAAGATGACCATATGTCATACAGACGTACATAATATATCTCTTCGAATTGAACTACTTTTAGCTGTTCTGTTTATCCGTCGACCAGATAACTTCACACTTTCACAAGAGGTATTTTGGGTAAGTTTACTGTTTCCCTGATTCTATGGGAAAATAATTTGGTTCCCTTTTTTGAAGGAAATCTATGTTTACCGATGACTTTTTGCTGACACGGTCAGCCTCCAGATACTGGTTACCTGACTATAACTGCTACCTTGAAGCAGTGGGCGGTATTAGCTTGTTGTAAAATCTTGTTTGGTATGATTGTTAATGCACAGTTTTTTAGGTCTTCTTGCAAAAGTTGATTGCAAAGTGACGAGAAGAAAACAGTGAATTCCAACTCGGACGTGAGGTCATAGTGCTCACAGTACCGCATAGTAGTCAACTCGTTCATAGTCAGCTTCAGACACCACATCAGCACAGCAAGATAAAATTGACAAGATGATTAGTGGAGTTGGAATAATCATAGTATCAGTGATACCAAGGCTAAAATAAGGAATACTGTACGGGAAGTGGGAATCAAGTGATTAAATAAAACTAGGAATTAATGTTCCCTCAAACAACGTTTCCAGCGATATTGTCCCCTGCCAGATAAATAATTAAAAGGCGGTTGACCTTAGAGCCAATACCCTATTTTCTCCATGGATTTCTGGTTTATTTTACTGGGTTAAGAAAGTATGAAGCTAATACAATCTGAGCAGCAAAAATTAGCGATCGATCCCAACTATTTTCCTCTTTGACTCTGCAAGTTCGTCCGTCAATCGACGATGTTATCAGCATGAATTCAGCCTCTTTATTCATGTTCCGTGTAAAGAAATAATGTGAGCTACACAAGTATTAGTGTAGATTGCATGTGCATGCCTAACAGCATCCTAGTTTATGTCCTTTGCCACAATCCGTATTCTCATTTCTTAGATCTCTTTTTATGACTTTTATAAGCTCTTCCAACCGGCTTTTCGATCCTATCAAAGCTGCAAAGGGTGTAGTTTGCTTAGCCCAATGGTTCTCAGAAAGACCCTACATGTTAAGTTTGTGGTCGTCTGTGATCTGATTCAGCTATTGATACGTGTTTCTGAAGTTCAACTAAGCTATTGATTGTAGTATCTAAAGTGAATATGAATCATATGACTCCTGAGTATTAGTCAGGCATACAAATGTACAAAACACCTGAGTCATGGCTTTATCAATATACTACTTTGGTGTTTCACATTAGGCAGTAGTGTAGTTAATCTGAATACTATTTCGACTCTTACTTTGGGAAACTGAATGGTTAAATGTGGTTGAAGTAAAGACAATTAGAATAATTTTAAAGTCAATGTTAGTCATTTACACTTCTTGTTTCGAAATGTATATCTTTCAAACGTTAATCTTGTTTCTGCTTATTGTAGCATTTAAATGTACTATTCACAATACCAAAAGAGAGATTGAATTACTTTTACACATATCAGTAGCTTATCTATATGTGAAGTTTCATCACTGTGACTATCTTAATCTATTTAGTCTTATTATTTTTGAAGGCAAACGTTTGGCGAAAGGATATAGGGGAAAAAAAACCATTTCGCTATCCATATGACCTTGGAAAGCTCGTAAATTTTCAGCAGGTTGGTACATATTCCAAAATTGATTTAAAACTTTTTATTTTTGCAGATTATTTTATTCACTAGTACCAAGTTCCAATAAAGGATTTAAATATAATGAGGTGAAGGAATTTATCATGTTACTGTAATTTAGTGCATCTGAATTTAATTTTCCTACTAGACTTGTATCATGCCAACATCACTTACAGACAACTTAAATTTCAAAGATGTGTTTACTAATAACCATTTTCATTTTCTTATCAATTTATTTGTGGTGTAAGTTTAAAGGAACATTTGTTTCTTAGCGTATATATGTATATCGATTTTCTCCGGACTAATCCACTTTTTATTAAAGGTTGGTACAAACAGATCTAAGTATCTGAATACAGTAACTTGAATAATGGATAAAAATAATTATAGTTTATCCTGTAAAAGAAAATAAAGGGATATACAACTGAAATGTGATAGTTTCCTTCAATTTAAGCTCTTTACTTAGATCCATCCATTGTTAGTGCTGTATGATTATCCTTTTTCTACTTAACTTGAAGATGAAATAGGAATTCCTAACTTTTCTGGTTGAGAATTTCCCTGTGAATAATTTTTATTACGTAGCTAGACATTTTTTGGTATGTGCATACTTCGTCTCATCAAATATGATTTTGTTTCGCAAATACTTGATGTATTAGGAAGAAAAATAGGTTTAATCTCGTTGTTGCACAAATTCACTGTCATGATAAACTGATTATGATATGATCCCTACTTAATTTTAGGTCACTACTTTTTTACTAATAATGTATGAAATGTAAATCAGTGAATCCCTGAAATAATTTCTTGCGTTTTATAATTTGAAATTGTTCACGGATATTTTCTTTGTATTAAATTAGAAAAAAAACTATTTGAATCTGTTTATGACTTCCTTAATACCAATGAATGTGATTGTTATCAAAAGTGTAGAAAGTACGGTGTTTAAGCAGTAAACTAACTCATTTTCATGTCAATTCGTCCTTTTTTTCTACATGAAGAGTTCAGTGCCAAAAATAAAACTACCAAAAACTAAAATAATGGACATGAAATTATTTAATGAAAGATGATTTTTTAAAAATAAGATACTAGTAGACATGAGAATTTTTTGCGTTTATTAATTGATCATCATATCATTTATGCTTTACTTACAACCATCATCAGACATCTGATACAGTAGTTTTTTATACCAGATCTGGACTTTATTGCTAAATACAATCCAGATTTACATTCTACTTTGTCCTGCTTCTTAGCCATTTTTTTATTTTGAGCATGTTATTATAATGATTCAAATTTTTATCCCAACAGATTTTTTTGTGGTCTGGTAAAGTCTTAGGAGATGGATACTACTGGCCTGTTGTGAAAGGCTGCACTCAGTATGATTTGACAGTAAGTTTTGTTTTTGTTATTCCTCCACATCCTAATCATCTTGATTCATACATTTGGTAATTATAATAAATGATTATGCAACAATGTAATTCCGTTGTTTTGTTTCACATGTGTTCCACATCTGATCTGTCTGCTGATTTGAATGGATAGTTTTCAGTATAATTAGATCATATACTTGTCACTTGCAAGTTTGTACCTATGGGAGCTTATATCCTCTCATATTCGATCATACCAGCGCTGTTAACTAGGCGTGAAGGTCCAAAATTCCATTTCTTATGGAGTCGTAAGTTCGCACCGTTGAAAAATCCCAAACTATATCAAGACGACTATTCAGTATCCCCTAGTTCCGTATCTTATATCAGTCTGTAATAAAAGCTAGTTTCAGATAATTTCGTATTCTGTCTTGTAAATTATAAAATTTTACCTTATTGTGATTAGGTTATCTTCTACTTTCCAATATCTCTAAGACACAATTTACTTATCCATATAATTATACTATTGAGACTCATCTATAAATCAGATTGATCAATGTATATTTGACTATGCATATATAGTTAAATGTTAAGCACAGTTTCTAGAAATTTAATTCTTTATTTCTTCGTTTAAAAGCTCACATTTAGCATATCTAAGTCATTAAAATAAATACAATATGATAGCACTATAAAGACACAAAGATGAAGAGAATATATGGTCCGCCTGGAGCCCCTCTGGGGCTACTGTCGATCCCAAGCCCGGATAAAGGGAGAGTATCGGGCATGAGGTTAGCGACTCCATTACGCAGAAAACTAATGCGCTAAAAAAACGCTAACCAAGAAAGTAATTCAAACTATTTATGGTCTGTAATTCGAATCGGTAATCAGCAAATCGTCATAACGTTTGGTCGAACCAGTCCTGAGGCTTAATTGGCGATGTATATTACGTACAATCTGTGTGTATATATGAGTACACAAAAGGCCTAAATAACATCAATGTGAATGTCAGATAGTCTATTCTTCCCTTATGCTTAGTTCGTACTTTATCACTTCCATTAATGCAATGCATACTTCTGTTATATTGCTTGTTTTAGCTGATTAGCTCTGATTAGCTCGGTGTAATGGTAAAGGACAAGAATGTAAATAATTTGCATATATTATAGAAATAAATGCTCCTAAAAGTTGTCAGCGAAGTAGCTGACACAACTTGTCAAAAACAGGCTAACAGCATTTTTCTCTACTCAATTTCGTGTTAGTTTTGACTGCGCAAAATGTCGTTGCATTGCTTAACTAAACTTAATATGCAAAAAAGCGTATTATACAATATTTACTCCAAAATGTTAAGTTTTTCCAATAATTACTACTACAATGTAAATGTATGTTTCTCTTTGAGTTAGCTTTTGTCCCAATTCAGTTATGCTGTAATGTTTTTATCGACTTGAAGTATTAAATACATTAAACCAGTGGTAGCTAAATTGCTACATTCTTTGCATTTATAATTTTCAAACGATAGGTAAGCTATTTCGATATTCAGTACGAAACTTCATTTAAATAGTAATTAGTCGTTGTAGATAGAAGTCTACTTTAGCCAAGGTTACCAATTTGAATGGTGGACGTTTTTTAATATTTAATTGTCAAATAATATTTACTAATAATGGTTCATAATTGCTCTTGTGTCACATTCAGCTTTAGTTTTACTTGTATAGTTTCGTTATATTCTACCAGTTGGAACAGATCTATCAGAAAAGGTTGAAGCAAAAAATTCAGCGCACATTCAAAATTACCCAAAATTATGATGGGAGTCGGTGTATGTGTTTTCGTTATGGATGTCTAACTGCGATACGTTCCCCATGTTTTGAAGAACCCAGAATATCTGTACGTGTCGGTGATGTTCTTATGGTGACAAGAGGAACAAAGTAAGCGAAAGGCATTCGATATTGTTTGAAGTGAAAAAAAACTAACTGTAGAGGCTCAACATATAAACGAATAATAATCCAGTAATATGTATTTAGATTGATTAATCTAACTTCGAAATTACGTATGTTCCTCAAAGTCGTACTAAAATTGCATTAGAAGAGCATTAAATGTGATATCTTTTTTTGTAAGAGCATTCTAAACTAGTACTTTCAGACTGGTTTGCATTCATTTATTATCTCAATAAAGTTTGTTCAGTGGTTTGTTTTATTGAATGACGAAATAGTAATCCGATATATGCTAAAAACTGGGTCGTCGTTTTTCAAAGTACGTCATTCAGTGCATATTGTTATTTCTTCTTAAATATAGGATTTCTGTTGTGTGGTGTGATCATCGTGGTTTAAAGAAGAACTTAGGGTAATTATATCAAGTTGACTTATGAACAGATAATATATAATAAACTGTAGGCTTCAGTTTGTGTCCTTTGATAATGGGAATGAGAGATTGAAAACATAAGATCATCTGATTAGTATTAACTCAAGAAAGTGTAATCCTAATCTTCTTATATGGTTTTCATATGATTATCAAAGTGTTTAAAATTTACATTAACTTTGTTATATTTATTTCAATCTTTTTGTATATTTTAACTCCGTGTGATGAATATTTCATAGATTACAATACGAACTGATCCTAGCTAGACAAACATTGTAAACCGAAAAGCATTAGACGGCTGTTTTGTCCTGTATCGAGACTCTTCTGTAGTAGGCGTCTACGACCCCGCCGGGGATCGAATGCACGACTTTCAGACCTCCCAGCGAGTGCTGAACCTCTAGACCACTGGGTTTGAGATCCAGTGGTTTGCATTTCTAACTTTGGTCAATTCACGATATTGCACGACCATCATCTATTACCATTTGTGATCTTTTTCTCATGCCCTCCGACATAGTTGAACTATACCTGGTCACGGCTCATCACTATAACTTCAGGAATTACCGCTCAAGGTTATTCACTGGTAATGAGAATTGATTGAAGTTAGACATGAACTGTTCGGTCCAAAAGTTGGACTTAACCCCCTATGTGGTTGTAAATTCATAATGCTAAGTAGTTCCGTACGAGAACGAAATACACAAAATAGAATTTCGAGGTATGATGATTCATCTTTCTGTTATCCTAAGTTTTTAAGAAGTTGGTTTTTCTGCTCTAACACTTTTCGTGCTTCCAAGTTAGTTTTGACTTTATTTTCATGCGTAATTATGCGATTTTATTTACCCAGTGAGTTGTTAATTTAAATACTAGATATCTTATTTAGTGAAAGCAGATGTTAAGACACAGGTGATACAATCAATTTATATCACGTTTACGTTCAGTAGGTTTTACTAGTACCACAATTTTTTTTTACTGAATAGAATGACCGTTTTGTTAGAAACTAATATGTATCTATGTGGCTTCACTCACCTCACATAGTGCTTCTTTGCTTTAATACACCTCATTTAAGCTACGTATAGCAAAACTTAATCTGTTTATTTTTGTTCCTATAAGCTGAAAAGCTACGTCCATCGTTCTTAGATGGTAGACCTTTGGTTTAACTGCCTTTACATTTTCTCTAAAAGTCGTTTGTTATGGTTTCATGTATTTTGTTAATAAGTTTCCAACATCCAATTAGTAGTTTTCTTTGCTGATATGATAAGTGTGCTCCTTCAACCTCTTTTTCCGAAAATTCTGTATATCACGTTTTTGTTGAGTGTGCTCCACCTAGTCATCAGTGTGTTTCACTTATTATACGTACATATTCTTACAAGTCTAGTTATTAGTACATTTCACTTACCTTTCTATTGTACTTTATATCCATCTTGTTTTCCTAAAAAGTCCTTGATACTAGAGTTAAGCTTTAACTTTCTTATTGTACTTGTTTCTTGTTTCATGATCGATTGTTCAAATCATTCAAAGATAATCTGAATAGTAATAAAATTTCATTTCGACCCATTATTAGGTAATTATAAACGCTTTCACCCTAATTACAATATTTTGATTTAGCTGTTTGCCTTGTCTATCGATTACCTCTCGTTGTTTCATTCGAACTATCTTGAACTGTTATTGCACATCTAACGAAATTCCTAGTCAGAAGCTACCTCATCAAGGGATATCTTTGTAATATTTGTATCTTTTGACCCATATTTCGGTTTGTCTCTGGAAGGTATTTGCTTGGTTTTGGATTTCTTTATGATCACAATTTACTATTATTGAACTCCTTCAGTTTTTGTGTCACCGAAGATATTTTACATGCATTGTTAATATAAGTATATGGGTGGAAAGTTTATTTTATAGTGTTCTGGATACTGACCATTGTATATAGATTTAACAGATATTTTGTTTGTAAATTCATTTATTGGATGTATTTATTATTCTCTATTGTTTCATTTACCAGGTACTGGATTTATGGGCATTTGGTCCCTTCTGAAAGTTGTTCTGCTGATTTTTCAGGTAATTTGCTAGCATTAATATACAGTTTTCAATTCGTAGATATGCTACTTTCCTTAGAAATGCTGCCAGTTAGTTGCGTAATAGATTAGATAATAATAACATTGACACGTAATTTTCCCTCTTTTGGTTCATGGAGCAGCACATAATCAATATAGTGATTCTCCTTCGTCATCTATAAATATAGCACTCGTTAACATTATCATTGGTCAGTAGGCATCTTTTTTGATGCTTCTAGGTTGCTCCTAGGTCAAAGAAAAAGTTTAACTGTTATTGTAATACTTATCACTTTTTTAATTTACATAGAGAATTCTGATCAGAAATATTATTACTGCTTCAAACTTAACTCTGTTTGGTTAACAATTGAATGTTTTCTTACTTTCGGTTTCCTTTTACTTTACAGATTCTGTCAGAATTCGTGGGTGGGTTCCTCGCGTTTGCACTTTTGAGGTCGATTTCAAACACAAAAACGATAAGTTCTCGCTTAAGAATGACTAGGCAGTCACATTCCATAGTTCAGAGGACGATCATTGTTCTATTTTGTAGATTACTACAGTGTTCGTACTAATTGTCGTTACTTTACTCACTTTTGTAATTTCTTTTCTTGTTCTATTTTCCTATTTACTTTCTCTTATTTAAAAGATTGAATGGGATGAAATTATCCGACTAACACGAACTGAACATCTCAGTCTAAGATTTGTTTAGATTTACTGTTTATTATCATTCTCACCACCAATCTTATAAAGTGACCCAGATGTTAGAGGACATGCAACAAACGTTACTAGAAGGAGAATGTTGTGGTTAACTCACTCGCTGTCCTAATGTAACTTGAATTAGATTCTGCTAGTCATTTTTTGAAACATTATGCCCAATTTTCGTGGTATGTAAATAACCAAAACTAAAGATTCATATGTTTAGAGATGTACTTGTATTTTAGTAGTTGGTGTTTGTTGAACACAATCGTTTCATATAGATTGATAATACAGTTACTTCATTTTAGATTGATCATAGTCTTCCTCTCTGAAAATAACTGTTATTGGGTCCCCTGGACTTCGTTTTTCCGACACTCGAGTCTGCATATCTATTGGTCGATCTGGTTTCTACATGCTATGCAGTAGTTTAGCTAAGGCAATAGTGCAGTTAAATTACATTCCAAATAGTGTTATTTAGGAGGGGAGGAATCTTCATAAATTGTCTTTTGCTATGCCATCAATCTCATATTGTATCACTAAGGCTATCTACCAGTGATTAACAGTCTACTAGCTTCCAGCTCCCAGATTTTATTTGTGACTATCTTGTATAGAATTAGCGTCGTTCCAAAGCATATGAATAATAGCTCTGGAGAGTATAATCATCTAAGGAGTAGGATATTTTACCTTAGTAAAAATACACTTGCTGGATTTAGTCTTCCTTATCTATGATTCTAAATATGTGACTTTCAGTAGGTTAAGCCAACCAAAGTTTGTGCATCTAACCTCTCGTTTCAGGAAAGTGCAGATTCTTTCCTTAAAAATAAAATTAACTTTTCCCAAAACGTCACTAACAGTGACTTTGTCGTAAGTGAATACGACTTCCTATACCGAGAGACAATCAGTGCACGGAGGCTTATAATAATTAGGATGTATTAATTTTCTGAGGTCCTCTCTTAAACACATAGTTCATCCATGAATAATGATACTACGGTCTCATGGCTTAGTTAATTGATTAATCGCACCAAATCGACACAACGTTAAGACATCAACAAGACCCACTTCACTAAGTCTTGATTCCTGAGTAGAATTATTAGATGTGAGGCAGTCAGTCACACACTGGGATGAGAATACGGTTAGGCATCTTTCCTTCAAAGGTCGATAAGTTCTGCAGATGCGAGTAATGTCTCCATTCGGGATTTCATATTAAGCTTCAACGTCATCTGGGATGTCGGGGCGCGGCACACTAATGGTTTCATTAGAGATATAAACCTCTTGACTTGAAATTGGGACTGGTGGATATTGAACTAAATGAGGGGTTTGTGTGAAGATTATAATGTTTGAGCCATTAGACTAGTTGGTAGTCTCCATTGATGAACGATAACATCCTATCTTTGGGCTACTCCTGTTCTTATGTTTATTGGCGATAATCTTTAAAATGAGACGTAGCACCCCTTCAAGTATTAAGACTTCTCAAGTAGATTTAAACAAATAAAACGGTTGGATTCAGATATTATTATAGTTGTAAGTATTCAAATTTATGCGCTAGCTAAGAATTTCCGAAGTGATGCTATTCAAGGCAGGTAGAACTAGGTGGATACAGTTTGACGTAATACGGTTGTGATTAGTAATAGGCGGGCATATAAAGGGGCCGCAGTTTTACACATACCATAGCTTAAGTGGGGACCTGGATTTCTGTTTTATTACAAAGAACTTTATATCGTGGGAGAAAGAAAACAGTTTTTTTCTCTGTTATGTGGTTCTGCAATATTGAGATCTATTCGTTTTTATACATACGCTGGCAACAAATTCAATTCTCAAATCCGAATAAGATCTCCAGAATTCGGGGACCACAACTGTGGTTATCTGTTAGGCGGGCATAGCAGAGAAAAGGCATAAAAATTATCTTGATTATCCAGATAGACGATTAGTGTTAATTGCCCCAATCAGCCGAAGCGTGTATACAATTATTTGTGTTATCTGTTGACCGATACAATATCACCAGGAGAACGGCAACCCAGAAAGCGCGCTTCACCAAGTACAAAAGTTTGGTCAGTTAGTACTAATACGTACATTTAGCACCAGTAAATGCAGAATAAAGATGATGAACGAGAGGACTGCAATTAATCTATATATTGTGATTTGTTCCTTTTTAAATGTGTCAATGGTGAGAAGGCGCCTAATTACCAATCTTCGTAATAAGCTGTTTCGCTTCATTTGTAGTTATGCACACAACAGTGTATGCTCTGTAACTGCATATATTGTTGATGTAGATTATAAAGAGCAATGGACCCAAGACACTACCCTGCACAACACCACTGGTTATTGGTCGAGGTGTAGATGTTTTAGAGTTAATCTCGGTTACTTGATATCTGTTCATAAGAAAAGACTTAATCCATTGCAAAAGGGGACTTATAATTCCAACTGACTTAAGTCTGTTGATTAGAAGATTATGTGGTACTTTATCAAAGGCTTTCTTAATATCGAAGTATAGTATAATAACTAGTTTCTTCAGGTCCGGTCCTGACATTTGATAAACGATTGAAGGGATGTCATCGGCACCAGGACTCGCATTTGGCTTAAGAGTTTTAATGGGAGTATGTATACTCCTAATGTCGTAGTTTATGGTACTAAGATAGTTTTCGCTGGTTCACTTTATGTCGATAACTGGAGCATCAGATGTATTCCCATTGTGAGAAAACCATTCACATATGACGGTTTGGTCATTATACGCCATTCCATCGTGCAGTAAGGAGTGAATGTTGTGGTCTGTGTTATGCGTTTCGTGAGGAGACGACATAGGGCTTGGGCTTTAGATGCAGGGGCGAGCGCAGTACGTTCCTCTACCTGTTTATGCTTGTCGTGTTGACTTTGTACGCCGTCAAGTACAGAGTATATCTGGTGCAGGGCACTGAAGTCTTTTGATATATAGTACATCCTTTTCAGTTTCCGCAGTTTAGACCTAGTCTTTTGGTTTATATAGGGAGTAATATTTTTAAAACCAATTTTAGAGGGTATAGTAGTGTCTAGTGCAGATTTGGTGGTGATATTGAATATATGTTTATAAGAGGTTATCACTGATAAAGAAACTGCCCCAGTCCGAGTGCTTTATTAGAAATCGAAAGTTTTCCCGGTCAGCGTTTGCATAGTCTCTATATTGGAATCGCGTGTTGTATGTCTTTAATTTGTTGCATATGGCAAGAATCGGAAGGGTGCAGAGGACTATTTTATGATCGCTGTTGTGAAACTTTTCGCCAACTACCATTGATGTTGGTGTGACATTATGACAGAATATCAAGTCAAGAATGTTGTGATTTCGTGTAGGCAGGTGTACATGTTGTTGCCCACCGTGTATGTCTAAGGACCCAAGTATGCTTTCAAAACACAATGGGCCAGAATGTGTCGTCCAGTTGATGATGAGAAGGTTGAAATCACCACATACAATTTTGTAGGTGAAGTCAAGCGAGGCAGCCCGAGCAAATGACTCACTTATAATGTCAGTTGAACTAGGAGTGTTAGGAGCTCGATATATGCATCCGATTAGTATTTTACATTCATGAGTGTGCACAGTAAGCCATGTCGATTTAGGAAGTTTGCTGAGGACGTGGTTGCTATAGATTTCCGCTCTCAAATTTTTTGATACATAAACAAGTCAACCACCACCCTTCTTGGTGACTCGATCACAGCGGAAGAGCTCTTAGGTGTCTATTTGTAGATATGTGTACGTGGTATCGGAGGACAACCAACTTTCCGTTATCAAAACAAGTGAGGGGTTTTTTAGAAGTAATAGGGTGCGTAGGTGAGTCATCTTACTTTGTACAAATCGAGCGTTGATTAACATAAGTGTCAGGTACGGTGACTGTTTGTCTAGTAGAAGGGTATGATGTAAACCCAGTGGTTTGTCTGGTTTGCCATGCGAAAAGGAAGAATTGGGAGCGTTGACTCGATATTGATGAGCGTTTAGTTTATTACCAGTAGGGTTAATGCAAGAAGGGTAGTCGGGTGTTGTTTTGGTGAAAGAAGTATGTCTAAGAGTGGAAGGTAGAGTTGAATGGTTAGGTAGTGTGTCCGGGGAATGATCAGGAGGTTCAGTCAAGGAGTTTTCAAGACTAGAGACAGTTATCGAAGTTGAGAAGGATGTGCCACTCCCCATTAAATCGGAGTATACAGATGGTTTCAGAATAGTGGGGTTGTCGCCCTCAACATTTGGAGACCCCGTAGCAGTAATGTTGAGGGGGAGAGAGATAAAAAAGCATGAGATAGTGTGTATGTCGAATTAGGGGGGACTAAACCGTTGTATTGGGTGGCTTGACTTAGATAGTACCTAGAATCAGTAGGTGGGTTCCCATGTAGGCCAACGTTATGGCTTCCTTGTGTGCGGTGGGCAATTTTAGTCCTACTGTGGGTAGTTGGGGAGGTTGTATGTTTCTGGTAAGGAACGAAGGATTGCCTGATATTATTGCCAGGAGAGGTGTTTCTCTTATGTGTATTTGTGTGCTGGTTCATGGAGCTCGCAAGGTTACCACTATATGACTTACGCGTATTACGTGTAGGTGTGGTTCTTGTCGAGTGTCATTTCACATTAGGATGAGTAGGTGTTGTCAGTTCACTATGTTTGTTGTAGGGGATTCTATTTCTGTGAGAAGGTGCATGTTTTGGGTTAGGGGTGCTGGAGTATTGGTGAGTTTTTACGGAGAGTTTGGTATTATTTCGTACAGCGGAGTCTGAAAGTCTGTAGCTGTTAGCGCAATCCCTGGGAGGATCATTTTCAGGCATTTTATAGGGCCGCTAGGGTAATACTTGGACGCCATTGAGGCATAAGTGGTTTGGCATTGTGGGGTAGCTGAGTGTTTGGGCTGAGGGTGAGTGGTTATAGCTGCTTTATGTGCGGTCTTGTCCTTAGGACTAATAGCAGTATCCGACGTGCCTCCTTTTCTTAGGGGCGGGGCAGTGTATGATGTTTTAGGATTTGTGCAGTGGCAAGAGCTGTAGCTGCCGCGGCTACGTAGGCTGTGTTGATCAGTTTGTGTTCCATTGCAGTTTCGACGCTGGATAGCGGTCCTGTCATGAATGATCCTAATCTTTTTAAATGTTGGAATACGTGTAGCGTGGTGTCGAGTTGGGATTGACTATGAACACCGCTACCAAGAAACACGTGCCAAGTAAATCAGAAGGCGAAGGTTGAACGTAACCAAATAAATCCATAAAATCCCTGAGAAGCCAAATATCAGAAGGCAGTTAATGGACCAAGTCGAGATATATTTGCTGGCGATCTCGTGGTATCGAAAGGATACCGAGATCGTGCCAGGATACAAG